TCCCAAGTAGGCTGGGACACAGTGCGCCCCCACCACGCCGCCTAAGATTTTTGATTTTTTAGTAGAGACGGGGTTTCACCGTGTTAAGCCAAAGGATGGTTCTGATCACCTTGACCTCGGGATCCGCCTGGCCTTCGGCCTCCAAATGTGCTGGATTACAGGCGAGAGCCACCGGCCGGGTCCTTTTTTTTTTGATTAGGGAGACCGGGTTTCGCCAACATGTTGCCACTGGTCCTCGAACTCTCTGATCTTGTGATCTGCCCACCTCAACTCCCAAATGGCTCGCGATTGAGCGGTGGGTCTGGTTTACGCCTGTAATCCCAGCACATGGGAGCGAGGCAGGCGGATCCTGAGGTCAGGAGCTCAAGACCAGCCTGGCCAGCAATGTGAAACCCCATCTCTACAAAAATACAAAAAATTGTAAAAAAAAAAAAAAACAAAGCACAAAGTGCTGCGATTACAGGCGTGAGACACCGCGCCTGGTTCAAACATTGTAAAGAGACTTTAGGGTAGCGTGAAAGATTGAATCACGGGGATACACACCACTCTGACCTCTTCTCCCTCTCAAAAGCCCACTGAAATGAGAGCAAAGGAGTAAGAAGTGCATAAAGTCACATAGACAAAGAGACCTGGAGAAGAGACAATGGCAGGCAACAGATGTCAACATTTTGGAGGCCAGAGAGCATAGATAAATGGAAATGACTTTAGTAGAGTGGAGAAAAAGAAGTCACGGAGTAGAAGACAGGAAAGAAGTTGATCAATGCTAAAGTACATCAGAAAGGCTCAGGAAGTGGAAGCCCCTGGTGACACTGATGACTCTATGTCTCTTTTCCCACCCAGGTAGCAAACTGGAGGTTTTCCCTCTGGAAAGGCTGAACCAGAGAGACTGGACTTTATAGGTGAGAAGGAGCAACCATGCTGAAAATGGGAGGATATGGTAAAGCCTCCGTTCTGGTCAGAGAGTCTGACTTCAACAAAAGAGCGTAGGAACACTCTCTAGAAAATTGACTAGCTTGGCTGGGCGCGGTGGCTCAAGCCTGTAATGCCAGCACTTTAGGAGGCCGAGACGGGCGGATCACGAGGTCAGGAGATCGACACCATCCTGGCTAACACGGTGAAACCCCGTCTCTACTTACATGGAAAATCACGAAAACACTAGCGGGCGAGGTGGCGGGTCCCTGTAGTCCCAGCTACTCGGGAGGCTGAGGCAGGAGAATGGTCGTGAACCCCGGAGGGCGGAGCTTGCAGTGAGCTGAGATCCGGCCACCTGCACCTCCAGCCTGGGCGACAGAGCAAGACTCCATGCTCAAAAAAAAAAGAAAATTGACTAGCTTAGGGAAGAAAAACCTTCCTGTACCAACAATGGGAGTGAGGGTAGGGAGGTGTCTTCCTACATAAAGATCATGTTCGTGTCCAAATACTCCACAGAGAAGTCCATCATTCAGGAAGCCCCATCCACATAGACCTTTCACTCAGCTTTTTAGTGCCTTGTTATGAACAGATAGCCAAAGATTATCAGACATTTGAAGGGAACCTGTAACAGGAAAGATAGAAACACCCCCAGCCTGGGCATCATAGTAAGACCCCATCTCTACAAAAGAATTTTAAAACTAGGCGTGGTGGCATGCCCCTGTGGTCCCAGCTACTCGGGAGGCTGAGGCAAGAGGATTGCTTCAGCCAGCCCAGGAGTTGGAGGCTGCAGTGGGTTATGATGACAGCAACAGCCCCCCTCCCCGAAAATTTTGGAGGAACCAGAGATAATGAATAGAAGAAACCATCAAAAGAATTATCTATATCCACAGGGTACAAGGAAACACATCCCATCAAGGGGCATGGGATGCCAAAAAAGAAAAAAGGATATTGAGTTTAAGAAAGAACTTTTGGCCGGGCACAGTGGCTCACGCCTGTAATCCCAGCACTTTGGGAGGCTGAGGCTGAAGCAGGCAGATTGGCTGAGGTCTGGAGTTTGAGACCAGTCTGGCCAACATGGTGAAACCTCGTCTTTACTAAAAATACAAAAAAATTAGCCGGGCGTGGTGGCATGTGCCTGTAATCCCAGCTACTCGGGAGGCTGAGGCAGGGCAATTGGGTGACAGAGCAAGACTCCATCTCAAAAAAAAAGAAAAGAAAGAAAGAACTTTTGGGGCTGGGAGCAGTGGCTCATGCCTGTAATCCCAGCGCTTTGGGAGGCCAACGCAGGTCTATCACTTGAGGTCAGGAGTTGCAGACCAGCCTGGCCAACATGGTGAAACCTCATCTCTACTAAAAATACAAAAATTATCCAAGTGTGCTGGCAAGTACCTGTAATCACAGCTACTTGGGAGGCTGAGGCAGGAGAATGATTTGAATCTGAGAGGCAGAGGTTGCAGTGAGCTGAGGTCACGTTACTGCACTCCAGCCTGGGTGACAAGAGCGACACTCCATCTGCCAAAAAAAAAAAGAAAAAGAAAAATTAGCCAGACAGGGTGGCGCTGGTCTGTGGTCCCAGCTACTCGGGAAATCACACAGAAAACAGAGTAAAAAGACACCCTGGTCTAAACCACCTTTACTTTCTCCTGAATTATTGCAGTAGCTATTACGTGTTCTGCCTCTAGCCTGGCAGCATACATGCTACAAAGGAGCTCTGGTGATCTGTTAAGGGTCAGTCAGATCACATTTGTTCCCTGATTCAACACACAGTGACTTTCCACATCACTCACAATATAAAGTTCACCTCATACCACCCCATCTTTCAGACCTCATCTTTCTCTCTCTGTTTCCCTTCTCTCTGGACATACTGGCCCCTTGGCTGTACCTTGATCCCATCAGGCCTGTTCCTGCCTCAGCCTGCCCCATCTATGGGCTTATGTATTTGCTGTTCTTTCTGCTTGTCATTCTTCTATGTCTCCTTGGTTTGCCCCTTTGTCTTCTAGTCTTTATTCAAAAAGTACTTTGGTTTTTTCTTTTATGAAATGGAGTTTCACTCTGTTGCCCAGGCTGGAGTGCAGTGGCGCAATCCCAACTCACTGCAACTTCCACCTCCTGGGTTCAAGCAGTTCTCTGCCTCAGCCTCCCGAGTAGCTGAGATTACAGGTGCCCACCACCACGCCTGGCTAACTTTTGTATTTTTAGTAGAGACAGGGTTTCACCATGTTGGCCAGGCTGGTCTCCAAC